TAATGGTGGGATTTATTGTTACATATTAATATATGCATACAATATAATAATTTGGCCAATATTACTGCCCAGCATATCAAAGGGATAATTATAAGTAAAAAAAGTACCAATTTTGAAAGGTCATATACTACAGGATTACATTTATATAACATTCTAGTATTTGTGGGTGGGTACTGAGCAATAGGATATACCCAGTCACTTTTATTTTTTATTTCAAGACAGGGTCTTGCTAAATTGCTGATGCTGACCTTTTGTGATCCTCCTGCCTTAGTTTCCCCAAGAATCTGGGACTATAGGCATATGCCACTATACCCAGCTTATATATAACATTTTGGAAATGACAAAAGTATAGAGATGGGGAACAAATCAATGGTTTCCATGGATTGGAGAAGTGGGTGAGGAGGTATTACTATAAAGGGAAGGCTTGTAGAAGTTCCTTTGTGGTGATAGAAGTTCTATACCTTAAAGGTGGTGATAGGGCTTTGACTGTGGCTCAGTGGTAGAGCACTTGCCTAGCATGTATGAGGCACTGGATTTGATTCCCAGCACCATATATAAATAAATCAAATTAAATAAAGTTCCATCAACAACTAATAAAAATATTTTTTTTAAAGAGAGAGTGAGAGAGGAGAAAGAGAGAGGAGAGAGAGAATTTTTAATATTTATTTTTTAGTTCTCGGCGGACACAACATCTTTGTTGGTATGTGGTGCTGAGGATCGAACCCAGGCCGCACGCATGCCAGGCGAGCGCGCTACCGCTTGAGCCACATCCCCAGCCCCAATAAAAATATTTTTTAAAAGGTGGTGATAGGGCTGGGGCTTAGTGATAGAGCACTTGCCTAGCACCTGTGAGGCCCTGGGTTCGATCCTCAGTACCACATAAAAATAAATAAATAAAATATATTGTCAGGGACACAATATATTTACAACTAATATATATATATATATATATATATATTTAAAGATGGTGGTAGGGACTGGGGATATAGCTCAGTTGGTAGAGTGCTTGCCTCGCATGCACAAAGCCCTAGGGGTTCAATCCCCAGCATCAAAATAAATAAATAAATAATAAAAATAAAAATAAAGGTGGTGATAGTTATGTGAGTATATATGACAAAGTATGATAGATGTATACACAAAGACATGCAAACAAATTAGTACACATAAAACAAAATCTGAGTAAGTTCTATAGGCTTTATTGTTAATTGTATTATAACAAGATTAATTTCCTGGTTTTGATAATGTAGTAGAGTTACACAAGATGTTAAGATTGGGGGAGGCTGTGTGATAGGTACATAGGTCTTCTCCTTGTTATTTTTCCAATTCTATAATTAACTCAAAATAAAAAGTTTAATTACAAAAAACAATGAAGCCAGGTGTAATGGATTCTTGAGAATTATTTGAGAGGCTGAGACTGGCAGACTGCAAGTTTGAGGCCAGCCTGGGCAACTCAGTGAGGCCCTATCTCACAATAAAAAAACAAAAAGGGCTGGGAATGTAGTGCAGTGGTAGAGCACTCCTGAGTTCAATCCCCAGTACTGTAAATAAGTAAATAATTAATTAATTAAATTTAAAAATTAAAAAATTAGTACAGTGGGCTGGAGTTGTAGCTCATTGGAAGAGAACTTGCCTAGCATGCGTGAGGCACTTGGTTTGATTCTCAGCACCACATACAAATAAATAAAATAAAGGTCCATCAACAACTAAAAAGATATTTTAAAAATATTCTTAAAAAAAATGAGTACAGTGGCAAGTGCTTATAGTCCCAGATACTGGTGAAAAAAGCAAGAGGATTGCCTGAGCTCAAGAGTTCAAAGCTAGTCTGAGCAACATAGCAAGACCTTGTCTCAAAAAAAAAAAAAAAAAAGAAAAAAAAGTGTATCCTTTTTATAATAACATGCACATATATATACATATATACATATACATATATATGAAATGAATTGGTTCCCTACTAGCTTTCAGGCTTTGGGGCACTAGGGATTGTGCAAATATATAGCATAAAAGCCCCTCATGGCACTTTTGTTCTAGTAGGGGAAAATACAAAGAAAGAAACAGGCAAGTGTGATGAATACATATTAAGTTGAACCACAATGATATACATTCTTCTCTAATCTCCACCCTTGAGGGTAAGCATGACTGTGACTTACTACAAATAAACAGAATATGGCAAAGACCATGGGACAGCACTCTCATGGTGAGGTCATATTCTGTAGCGAAGGTGATAGATGACATTCCTGTGATTACCTTTCCATAAACATCAGTGCCACCTTGCTAGCCCACATAAGGAAGACTCCTTCTGACCTTGAAGAACACAAGAAGCAGCAGCAAACTGCTATGTGATGTGTCAATGGAGAGGGCCATATAACAGGGAATTGTGAGCAGCCTCCAGAAGATGAGGGTCTTGGTTCTACAATAGCAAGGAACTGAATTCTGTCATCTTGTGAGTTCAGAAGAAAGTCCCAAGTTTCAGATAAGACTACAACCTCAGCTAAGAACTTGACTTCAGTCTAGGGAGACTCTGAGCAGAGGAGTAACTAAATCATGCCCAGACTCCTGGCCCACAGAAACTATAACAATGTTTGTTATTTTATACCACTAAATTTGTGATTTTTCTGTGTGTGTGTGTGTGTGTGTGTGTGTGTGTATGTATGTTGCTGGTGATGGAACCTAGGGCCTAGTGCATGTTAGGCAAGTGCTTCACCACTGAGCTACATCCACAGTTCCTGTGATAATTTGTTACATAGCAATAGAAAACTAGTAACGGTTTAGGCTTGGTTCACTTGTAATTCCAATGATTCAGGAGGCTGAGGCAGGAGGATCACAAGTTCAAGGCCAGTCTCAGGAATTTAGTGAGACCCTGTCTAAAAGGACTGGGGATGTAGTTCAGTTGTAGAATGCCCCTGGGTTTAATCCCCAGTACTACAAAAGAAAAAAAAAAAAAAAGAAGAAGAAAAGAAAGAAAAGGAAATACAGGGTCAATGAGAGTAAGGGAGGAGAATGGGTGTATGAGTGTGTGTATGTGCTACATGCAATTTTATAAAACAGTCAGGGAAGGTCTTTCCATCTGGTGTTTATATGTTTTACTGGTTTGACTTCCACAGCCAATCTGGGGGCTAGAACAGTCTTGACAGTCTTGTTCTCCTAAATATTCAGGGTCAGGTACAATGTAAGGGTTTAGCAGCAGAACATAAGTCTGCAAGTGACTCTTGTTTTCCAAGATCCTATGTACCATGAGAACACAGAACCACCTCTTTTAGCTTCTGTGTAGTCCCCAAAATATATACCCTACACAGTATTTAATAACCCTAGGACTCATTCCCAGTCTCCAACTTTCTCCCTGGCCCAGCCCTCTTATCCAGGAGAGATTCCTGGGTCACCTCTCCATGTAAGTGTCACCTTTTCCAGACGAGTCTCCAATTCTGACACTTCAGCTTCCACCAACTCGATAGAGGCTCTGGGGAAGGAGGGATGAGGTCACAGGAACAGGTTACAGGTCCATCAGGTCTAGAATCCTCTTCAGGGTTGGGGTTGGGGTTTTGGGGCAGTGGGGACAGACATAAAAAGCTGCTGGGTTGAGAAGGGCCACCCAGCCACCTGCTCTTACTTATTTACTTCACAGTCTAAGCTACTACAGGCCAGGCCAGAGCAGGAAGAGAAGAAAGATGGATGTGGTGACTAGAGCCGGAAGTTGCTAACCGCCCCAGAGCAGGTGTTGGGGGAGGGACAGGGGTCCCAGTGATAGGGAGGAAGGGATATCAGTTCTGGGGGATTAGAGAGACACCAGACAGTATGGGCAGGGTAGAGATCAAACTAGGACTCTGGTTTGATATCAGAGGTACTACTTTAGCCCATCAGCTTCCTCTCGTCGTTTTTTTTTTTTTTTTTTTTGGTGTGTGTGTGAGGTACTAGGGATTAAACCCAGGGGTTCTCTACCTCTGAGCTATATCCCTAGCCCTTTATGAGAGAGGGTCTCACTAAGTTGCCCAGGCTGGCCTTGAACTTGAAATCCTCCTGTTTCAACCTCCCACATAACTGGGATTACAGGCACCACACCCGGTTTCTCTCCTCCCCTGAGGCCTATACTCTGAAGTTGATCTGGCCTGCGAAAAGCTGTGTGTATGCTGTCGTGTTGGGCGATTTTGGACCCTCCCCACCTTGGCCATCCCCCCCTCAACCTACACCTACTTACCGGAAGCGGGGTGAATCTTTGAGACACTCTTCAAAATCCAGCTTGACAGTCATCTCACTTGATTGCTGTGGGGCCAGAGGGCCCGGGGGCCAGGCAGGTAGGGATATAGGCTAAGGCACTCCCTGCCCCAAGAATGGCCTCAATGAGGAAGGAGGGGGTCCTTTGCTGGGTTGTACCTGGGGGGTACAATTCTGTCCCCAAAGGAAAGGGTATTCTAGGAGGAGCTCTCACTCCACACTTCCAGGCAAGGCTGGGAGGGGCAGGGGTGGAGCCTGGGTGGAGGAGGGGGGCCTGAGATCAGAGAAGCCACAGCCCCGCCCCTAGAGACTATCTGCTGTCACCTTCCTCCTGGGGCCCCTGGTCTCTCCCTCTGCTTCTTTCTCTTTTAGTGGTTGAATTTGGGTAGGGGGGGGCGGTGGGTGGAGGGGCTGGTGATGTAGGTTCAAATCCTGGCTCTGTCACTTGGAGGTTGTGTAGGTTGTGTGACCCTGTGAAAGTTCTCTGATTCCTCAGTTTCTTCATTAGAAGATACAAATGAAAATCCCTCCCTTTGGGGTTATTAAAAAAATTGAAGAGGGTTGGATTTATGGTTAACTAAATTAATTGCATCAGTCATTACCATCCTGCTACTGCTTGACATTAACATTCTTGAGATCCTAGGTTCTTTTGCATCCAGTTCCTGGGTGGTTCCCAGTTTCCTTCTCTGTGCTCTGCTTTCTTGGTTTCCTGCTCTTGAATGGTCTTCCCACCCCACCCACTGCTTGACCCAGCAGGCCCAGCCTGAGCATCCAATTGACAGCATCCAGAATCCTGCTCTTCTTCTCTTTTATTGTCTATTCCTAAGGTGGTAAGTGCAGGGTAAGGTTGCCTTCACCCCATCCTAAGGTGCTACATTTTCCATTGTCTGGATTCTTCTTCCCGAGTCCATTGGAGCCGCAGAGTTTCATCTGGAGAGAGAAGAATCTGGGTTTAGTGGCTTTCTTGCAGCAGTCATTGAGATCTTGCCCATCTTAAACTCCCTAGAACCTACCCACTCAGACCCTCTGCCTCCCAGGCCAGTGCAACCACCTCCTTGCCTCTGCCCAGGCTCACGTCTGCGCCCGTTCTGGGTTGGAGGGTTCTGGCTGTGTCTATGTTCCCTCTCTGAGCTCCCTGGGCTTCGGCAGTTCTGCCTCTTGGCCTCTAGCCACTGACACCAGCTGGATGTCACTGGAGACCTATTGTCTTTGGATGACATGGTAGTTCCTGGAGTGGGATGAGATGGCAGAGAGGAGTCAAGAAGGAAGCATGGAGTCAGTGGGTGGTAACAAACTAGAGAGAGTCCCCAACCCTTTCTGAACTTCTGTGTTTCCTGTTCTACACAATATGAGCCTTGGGCTCTTGGATGTTTAGGGCCTCTCTTACCTGTTGCTGATGAAATGATCTAATGGGATTGGAAGGTTGAGAAATGGAATTTGCCAAGAGGCAGGACAGTGAGATGATGGCCTGGTGTCCTCACCAGGCTGCAGTGGTATCACTGTCATTTTTTCAGAGCCCTTAATGGTCTTGTGATCCCTAAAGGAACCTCCTGTGTGGTCCAATATATGAACCTTAGTGCTTATGGGTTTCTCAATGACCAAGGTCAAGTCTGTGGAGCCTGAAAGTGTTGTGGGATGAGGGTACCCACTCCCCAGGCTTCCCACACCAGCTCTCACTGTGCTGCTGCTCATCTTCTATGTCCTCTTCAGGTTCTGGGTGGGAGTCAGACCTCAGGTATCTTCCTTGGCTGTAATACTCCCTGCGTTGCAGATCGATTTGCTCCAATGGAATGGGAGTTGAAGCTGAGGGGAACTGATTTCTGCAGCTAGAGGAATCTGAGGAATCACCCAAAGCAATCTGAGTCATGGTCATTTGGTGTGTCCATGCCTCCCAGGTATACACGGTGGGCCTTACCAGGGGGGAGAAGCTCAACTCCCAGGTTCTCATCTCGTTTTCTTCTGTTACCAACCCTCATCTTTTAGAAAACCTTTAGGGACCTTTTCATCCCTCATGGTTCTCTTGGACTTTCTGTTCTTCAGCAGCCAGCTAGCTATGGGGGCTATCCTGAATGGGACCCCATTCCAATGGTCTCCTTTCCTCCCTGGGGTCACCACCCAGCACTGCTTCCCTACCAGACAGCAGGGCTGTGGGCCAGTGCCCACTGAGGAATAATATGATGGAGAAGTGAGGAAGAGAAAGTCCAAGAGGACCATGGGTTAGAACAGGCTCTGGACTACAACCCTCTTGAGTCTCTGGAGTCTCCATCACTAACCCTTGACATCTAGGACGGGTCTTGAGGCGAGCATGTCAGTTTCATCATTGACTCTTTTGGCTAGTCCTCCTGCCCAGCATCTCTCCACAGGCCTGGGCTTTGGCTCTATCGTCACACCTCTAACACCACTGCTGATGCCGGCACTACAGCTGTCCTCATCATGTTCCAAGGGCAGGTTTTTCTGACACTTGAGGAACTTCCCTTCAGTGTAGTGTGTCTTTCGGTGCTTGTCAAAATTACAGGAGTCTGTGGGCCAGTGTGAGAGCTTGGCTTTGCTGTCAGGCTCTCGCTGAAGGTTTGCTCCACCTCCCCTTTCCTTTCAGTGCCCACCCTGCATCTCACGTGTCTTGGAAAAGTTGTCTGCAGCTCCTGAGCTTCTATTGTCACCATACTGGAGGACCTTGGGGAGGAAATTGTCCATTGTTGCAAACCTGAAGGGGAGGGAGACTAGTTGGGGACACCGAAGGGAGAGAACAACAATGGGGGCATGTGGTAGATGATACCAAGCTGGCTGATCCCCCCCAGATCAGTCTTAGTCAGACCTGATGGGAATTGTGGTACCTCCCATTTTGCAGGCCAAAAAAGCAGAGGTGCCTCAGGCCCAAGTTCAAGGGCAAAGGAGGAGAAGACCTCAAACCTCAACTGATCTCTAAAAGGACTCTCACCTCTCTTCTAGCACTTCAGGAGTCACCTTGACGGAGGACCCTGCCAACAGGTCCTCATCACTGTCCTGCAGTCTGCAGAGGAGGGGGTATCAGGCAATGTCTAGTTCCTGAGGCTTCTCTGCCTCCTCCCCTGCCCCCCTTATTAGAACGGAAAGAGTCTAGGCTGACAAATTGAGGCTGAGGTCACCTGCGGTAGGGGGTGCTGGGTTCATCCACCTTCATAAAGCCATAGTCCTTATCAGAAGGGTGATAAGTGGCCAGGATATTCATCTCATCCCAGCGCTGAGCCTTTTTCCTGGGATGAAGAGAGTACACAGAAGAGAAGGAGACAGACCTTCTAGTGACCTTCCACCTCACAGGCTTCCCTCATTTTTCTGGTAATTCAAAAAACTTTTTTTTTACACCCTCTTTTACAGGCTTTAGGTAGGGTAGACCCAAAGATAATTACGGTACCATTTGGCCAGGATTTATGGGGCATCTGCTGCTCTCCCAAAGGCCTGAAACAACAGATCTCCCACCCAACTACCTTCACCTAGTCTCACTTCTATTTCTGAGGACTCTGGCCCTTCCCTCATGCCTCCGCCCCCTCCCGTGTCCCGAACTCCTCCCTCCAATCTCTGGGCTTTCTGTCCCCAGAGGTAGACTCCTTACTTATCCACACAGGGGGATCTCTGCATCAGGATGGAGCTGCTATCTTTTAGGATGCTCCTGGGCCGGTCCTCACAGGGACCAGAGTGCAAACAAGTTGACCCAGAGTGCAGACCACAGCCTGAGGTGTACATTCTGGAGCCCCCGGGCCCGGCACAGGAAGTCCTGGGTAAGCAGGATCCAGGGCAGGGAATGTTGACTGCATCAGGGGATGGGCTGAACTCAGGGTGGCCCGCAACCTCCCCAGGCTGCTGACTGAGCTCAGAAGTGGGGGCCACTACCCGCTCGGTGGGATGGCTTGAACCAGGACTGCGAACCACATTGCACCCCGAGTGCGAGGGGGGCTCAGAACCATTAGGCGAGGCTACTCTGAAGGGCAATCTGGTGTCTGCCTCGACTCCTCTGACCCCTCCGGCCACTCCCCTGGTAACCACTCCAGGTGATTCTCCATTGAAGCCTCTAGTAGGTCCCAGGGAACCCTGCCTCTCCATGGCCCCACCAGGGGGCCACTCTCAGCTACCCCACCCCGCCTTCCAGTTCCACATAGCCCCGCCCCTGGGCCACGCCCCCTACGCGGTGGGCGGGGAACGCTCCGGCTCTGATCCGGTCCCCTTCTCTTCTGCTCCTTAGAGCCGCGGTGGACCGAATCAAGACTCTATTTAAAGATCTCAGGCTTGGGAGTCACTCCGCTCGCCTTTCCCTTTTTATGCCACCCAATGTCTTTGTCTTTGCAACTTGTTCCCGCCTTTCTCCATCACCGCCCTCACCAAATGAGCCAATCATGGCCAGGGGGCTTGACCAGGGGGCGTGAACCCCTAATTGTGACGTCACAGCCTTCCGACCTTAGCGGGAGACCGACCTCAACAACCTCGGAGATTGGGCTGGGGTTTTGCTAGTGGCGTGGCGGAATCTTTTGGAGTCGTTAGCGCTGTAATTTGAAACTGCCTGCCGAGGTGTCTTTGGACTCTATTTGTGGATTTAAAGTTTGATTGAAAGAGTTCATTCTGGGCTTGACATGAAATATCCCCACCCCCAGCCACAAATCGTCTCTTGTTGCTTCTCAGGAAAAGTGTGATGCAAAGTAGGGAGATTGCGCCACTTTTGATCTCAGAGGTGTGGAGGGCGGAGGCTTTCATTTATAAAACTACAGTTTCTCTGTGCCCCCTGGTCATCCCGTTTATAGCTCTTTAAAGCGTGTAGCGCGTAGAGAACACTCTCACCCCTTGCCGTAAAGCGAATAGTTCAATATATCGCTTCCCCTGGCGAGGGCGGGGTTGTCGGTTCTGCTGTCGCAAAGCGCGTCTGGCGCCATAAACCTTCGGTCGTAAAGATGCTTGTGGCGGACTTTTCTTCTTTCCACTGTCGCAAAAGCTCCCTGTCTTAGTCTTCATCCCTTTCTGAGCCACTCCGTCATCTCACCGTGCCGTAAAGCGAGCCTCCCGACCCCGTCGTCCTTCTGTTCCCCGTGTGGTAGTCATTAGTTCCCAGTCCAGGATGCTTCATTGCCTGATAGTGCCGTAAAGCATATCTGGTCCCAGCCCCCGGTCGTATTCCCTCAGGGTGTCTGTCCTTCGCGGTTGCCACGGTGCCGCCAAGCGCGGCTGTCGCGCGGCCCGGGTGTCAGCGGCGATGGCGGCGGGGTCGGGTGGGAGTGGGGGCTCTGGGGGAGGCCCCGGGCCAGGACCCGGCGGGGGTGGGGGCCCCTGCGGGAGCGGCCCAGGACCGGGGTCCAGCGGGGGTCTCGGCAGCGGCGGGGAGCTGCACCCGCGCACAGGGCGCTTGGTGAGCCTCTCGGCCTGTGGGCGTACAGCGCGGCGGCAGCAGCCGGGCCAGGAGTTTAACCACGGGCTGGTGTTGAGCCGGGAACCCTTGCGTGATGGACGCGTCTTCACCGTCCGCATCGATCGCAAGGTGCAGAGCTGGGACCACGGAACCGACATGTGGAGGTGGTGGGAGGGGAACAGGGGAAGATGGGGTAGGACAGCCAGAAAGCCCACATAACTGGGTACCGAGAGGGAACTGACAGATTGTAGGACACTAAGAGGTGGGCAGGAGGAGAGCATGAAGCAGATGCATTCAGTCTGGAGGAGACAAGGTGAGAGCTTGAGTTTCCTTAAAACTCAGAAGCAAGGAGAGGGACACCCGCTCACCTACTAGAATGGCTGGGGAACAGGTCTCTCAGCCCAATATCTTGGTGGGTAGACGATGGAGAGATGTCAGATATGTGATGAGAGGAGGGAGGAATACCAAGAAAAGAACAAACCACTGAAGGACAGTGGTTTCTCAGGTAGGGCCAGAAAGGTGTGTGATTTACTTGTCTTACAGAGAATTTGGGAGGAGAGTGAATCTGGGTGGAGCCTGATCCTAGAAGAGAATCAGACCAGGAAGAAGAGAATGATATACAAGAGCAAAAGGAGTGGGCATAGGCAGCATGTGGTGGTTGAAGAGCCATAGAGACTCAGAGAAGTTAGAGGAGATAGAAAGCTGGAACCAGAGAATTTAACCTGCTTAGTGTTTACCAAACTAAGCACCCGAGTACAGGGCAGAGTTGCTAGGAGAGAACAGGCCCAAATAATTAGAGGCAGGGTCCATACTTATAGGTCTTCATGTCTGGATTAGTGCCTCAGAGGTGCTGAGAGGGGAGCAGAGTGACCTGTAGAATGGGTTTTCCTAGAGGTGGGAGACGCAGTGATGGCCCATCCTAAATCTCTCTATACCACCCCCATCATAGGTCAACTCTTGGAGCGGCTCCATTGAAATTGGAGTGACATCGTTGGACCCCAGTGTGCTGGATTTCCCAAGCAGTGCTACGGGGCTGAAGGGGGGCTCGTGGGTAGTGTCGGGCTGCTCGGTGCTGAGGGATGGGCGCTCTGTGCTGGAAGAGTATGGCCAGGACTTGGACCAGCTTGGCGAAGGGGACCGTGTGGGTGTGGAGCGCACTGTTGCTGGAGAGCTGCGGCTCTGGGTGAATGGGCGGGATTGTGGTGTGGCTGCCACAGGCCTGCCCGCCCGTGTATGGGCTGTTGTGGACCTTTACGGCAAGTGCACCCAGATCACCGTATTACCCCCTGAGCCAGGCTTCAGCCCCCCTACTCCCATCCCTACACCTCCCCTGGAGCCTTTGGCCCCCCCTGAAGATTCTGCCTTGATGGAACAGGGGACCTCTGGGGATGAAGGTGAGAGAACACAGGGCCATGGTGGAGGGGTGAGGCAGTGGGTGTGGTTACAGGGTGGGGCAAATGCAGTAGTGATCAAGGCTGGGTGTGGGCAGGACCTTTCAGACCCTGAGTCTGTTACTGGGGAGATCAGGGGCTAGAGGAGAGGGTCTCCTGGATATGGGCCCTGAAGCAAGGGCTTTACGGCAAGTGCACCCAGATCACTGTGTTATTCCCCTCCCATCCTACCTGGTCCCCAGCCTTCATGGTGTCCCCAGCGCAGGCCCGACCGGAGACGTTTCCTAACAGCCTTGAGTCGCATAATGGTGAGGGCTTTGGGGAGGCTCTGGGAAGGGGAAGGGGCAATGAGGGAGGGGCCTCAGGAGTGGGGTAGGGAGAGAGAGAGTATAGAGCTTCATTTTGGCCCTTCTCCATCCTCCTGATGTAGACTTTGCCAGCATGGAGCTCTCTGAGGTGGTGAGCAACGCCATCCTGTCTGCCTACAATGGGGGGCTCCTGAATGTGAACCTGAGCTCCCCACCCTCAGGGGATGGGCTGGGATCTAGTGGTGCTGCCACCTCGCCTATCCTTACTTCAAATGACGCTCTGCTCTTTCATGAGAAGTGTGGGACCCTCATCAAACTCAGCAACAATAATAAGACAGCTGAGCGCCGGAGGCCCCTGGATGAATTTAACAACGGGGTCGTCATGACAAACCGACCACTTCGGGACAATGAGATGTTTGAGGTGTGCAAGATCCTGGTTTGGCTGGTGCCTCACCCTCTGGGAGCTAAAGATGGGGCTCAACCCTTGATGCCAAGAGGGTGGAGTCTTGGGAAGAACCAAGGGGTTCCCTTCTCTGCACTTAACTTCTCTGCTCCTTCTGTTTATCATCACTCAATCCCAGATCCGGATAGACAAGCTTGTAGATAAGTGGTCAGGCTCTATTGAGATTGGTGTCACCACCCACAACCCCAACAGCCTGGAGTACCCAGCCACTATGACCAACCTTCAGTCAGGTACCAGCCCTGGGCAGCATGGGACACACAGGCCTGGGGTTACTGAGGTGAAGGAAACCCATACCCTAACCAGTATCCATTTTTGCTCAGGCACCATCATGATGAGCGGCTGTGGGATCCTAACCAATGGCAAGGGCACCCGCCGGGAGTACTGTGAATTTAGTCTGGATGAGCTGCAGGTAAGGATGAGGCACAGTATTTTGAGTGATTCCAAGGGAAGGTCTAGATACTTTGTGACGCTGCTTGGGTACCACATAAAGGTCTTTTCTGTGGCCTAGAGCAAATCCCTTTGTGTTTATATGAGGTCCCTTCTGAAAAGGCAGGGTTGCCCAATAGGCTCTAAAATGAGCCTAGTGGTAGCATTTTTTTTTCCTTTTTCTTTTCCCTTTTTTTTTTTTTTTTTGCAGCGTGTAGATCAAACCCAGGGTTTTACAGATGCTAAGCAAGCATTCTACCACTGAGCTACATCCGAAGCCCCTGTAGCAGTTATTATGTATAGGGAAATTTAAAAGTTGCTTTAGTTAGCATTTTTCCTGCTAATGCGGCTGTGACCAGAAGACCTGACAACAATTTTAGAGGAGGAAGTTTATTTGGGAGCTCACAGTTTCAGATTCCATAGATGGCCCACTCCATTGCTCTAGGCCAGAAGGGAGGCAGAATATCATAGTGGAAGAGTGGCAGAGGAAAGCAATTAGGAACATGGCAATAGGAAGCAGAGAGAGAGACTAAGCTCAGCTCACAAAATATATACCCCAAAGGCATGCCCCCAATTACCCATCTTCTCCAGCTATACCCTACCTGCCTGAAGCAGTACTCATTAATCTCTATCAGGGGATTAATACACTACGGTTTTCACAACTATCATTTCACCTCTAAACTTCCTTTTTTAAAATATATTTTTAGTTATAGATGGACAAAATACTTTTATTTATTTTTATGTGGTGCTGGGGATTGAACCCAGTGCCTCATATGTGCAAGGCATGCGTTCTACCACTGAGCCACAGCCACAGCCCTCGAAACTTTCTTTTACTGTCTTATACGTGACTTTTGAGGGGACAATTAATATTAAATCATAACAGAAGTTGATGTTTGTAAAATGGTTTAACTCTGTTCTTGACTTATATTGAGCATTCAGGAAATGTTGAAATTGCCATGTTTGGAAAACAGAGACCCAAGACCTGCCCTGCCTGTCCTCTAGGGTACTGAGACTCATGTGAATATCTTTGGGAACTGATTCCTGTGGAAAAGCGAGATGAGAAGGCCCCAGGATTCTCTGTAGCTAGGTTCCATTCTGAGTTATTTTTCTGCTTTTAATAGGAGGGTGACCACATTGGCCTCACAAGGAAGTCCAATTCTGCTTTACACTTCTTCATTAATGGCATCGATCAGGGTAAGGGGATCCTCAGAGTAGGCTTCTGGCCCAGGACTACCATGGGGTACAGACCTCATTCTTCTGCCTCTCTGGTGCTTGCTTTTCTTGTGTTTGATTCTTCTGCCCTTATTTTCCTCTGCCACAGGTGTGGCTACCCCATTGACACCCCCAGTGGTGTATGGTGTGGTGGACTTGTATGGGATGGCTGTGAAAGTCACCATTGTTCATAACAACAACCACTCTGATCGACTCCGCCGGAACAATGCCATTCTGCGGGCGCTATCTCCTGAGGGTGCTCTCCGACGTGCTGCTCCTGCTGCCCAGGCAGAACCTGAGCGCCTGCTTTTCCACCCCAATTGTGGGCAGAAGGCAGCCATTACCCACGAGGGACGCACTGCCCTGAGGCCCCAGTATGGCCCATGGGTGGGGAGAAGCCTGAAGAAAAGGCTCTAATGGAATTGGGGGTGGGGGGTGGGATGGTGATGGGGGAAGCAGAAGGAATCTTGTCTGGGAAGTCCTAGACAGAAAGGTGGGAAGCCTCCCAGATCGTGAGGTCTGGTTGGTTGGCTTGGGTCAGTGGATGATGGGTAGGTGTGACTGGGCTAAGCCTTGGCATATTCAAGAGTAGGTACTAGAATCTGAACTTCTCTTTGCTGTGTTCTCAGTGCCACTGATGACTTCAATCATGGAGTGGTGCTCAGCAGTAGAGCCCTACGGGATGGAGAGGTATTCCAGGTGCGCATCGACAAGATGGTGGACAAATGGGCTGGCTCCATTGAGATTGGTGTGACTACTCACAACCCTGCCTACCTCCAGTTGCCCTCCACCATGACCAACTTGCGCTCTGGTGAGTTCCCAAGAAGGGCAAAACTGCTAGGATAGGGTCCTAGAGAATAAGTTGTTCCTGCAGCTCTGACCCTTGTTCTCCAGCCGCTGTCTTCCTTATCACACGTATGATGATTTGTCCAGTGGCTGGGGGGTGCTACAAAGGCAGGGTCCGTCCTTACCTTTGGAAACTGCAGTTCTTCTTGTCCACTGAGAAGAAAGCCAAATCTCAAAGGAAAGCCACAGTGTGCTTTTAGTTTAGAGGAGTCTCATGGAGGATGCTTTGTAAAGGAAAGGAGCCCTGCCTTGCCCCTCATGTACTCTGCCATTCCTTTTCCTTGTAGGGACCTGGATGATGACTGGGAATGGGGTGATGCACAACGGGACAACCATCCTGGATGAATATGGGCACAACCTGGACCGCCTCAAGGTGGGAGAGTGGGTACATTGCCTGGGCGCAGCAGAAAGGGAGCCAGCAAGGTGGGGTGGATGCAGAACCATCCCAGGCCGGAACTCTGCCTGACTCCTCACTCCAGCCCCAACTTCTTCCAAGGCAGGGGACACGGTGGGTGTGGTGCGGCGAGAAGATGGGACTCTCCACTTCTTTGTCAACGGAATGACTCAGGGTCCTGCTGCCTGGAATGTACCCCCAGGCGTCTATGCTGTCGTCGATCTCTATGGCCAGGCAGCTCAGGCCACCATTGTGGATGACGTAGGTGAGGGCCCAGCTGGGCTAGGGCAGGAGGTGAGGGTGGCCATAGGAGGCCTTAGCAAACCTTAGAGACACCTGGAAACCTAACAGGTGATGTCCATTCCTGCAGAGGTGCCTCCAGTCCCTGAGCCACTCCCTGAGGGAAACAACCAGGTATCTCCAAGCTCCCCATCCTCAGGGGCTGGAGGTTCTGACCTACGCTTCCACCAGCTGCATGGAAGTAATGCCGTCATTACTAATGGAGGTCGTACTGCACTTCGGCACAACTGCCGCAGCGAGTTCAATGATGCCATTGTCATTTCCAACCGGTGAGTCCCTGAACTTTTATATTCCCACTCTCCTTCTGCTTCCCTAAGTAGGACCTCAATGACTGCCACTTTCCCTGGCAGGGCCCTTCGGGACGGAGAGCTGTTTGAAATTGTCATTCAGAAGATGGTGGACCGCTGGTCAGGCTCCATTGAAGCTGGTGAGAGGGGTTATCTATGTGTGGGTTAGGGCATGTGGATGCCTGTATCCTAGAGAGTTAGATTTGACCTTTCCCTGCTTCTTCCCAGGAGTTACTGCTATTCGACCCGAAGACCTCGAATTCCCCAACACCATGACAGACATTGACTATGATACATGGATGCTGAGGTTGGGTTGCCTTCTCTTGGGACCAGTTTGGTGGGGCTCAGTGGAGCTGGCTAGATTCAGGGAATCAGGATTTGGGCCTATAATGGTTACCAACAATGGCAGACTTAGGGGATATGACTGCCTCTTCTGTTAAATTTTGGGAATCCCTCTTTAGTCTTCAGGGGCTCCATCCTCCTTCCTTTTAGGGGAGTCCTTGCTTTTCCGTGGGGAGATCTCAGGGCAAGGAGGACAGAATTATATGTTGGGCCAAGATCAAGACATATTCCTCCCTCACATCCAAGGCCCTGGAGAGCTCTTTTTTTTTTTTTTTTTTTTTTTTGAGGATTGAACCCACGGGCACTTAACCACTGAGACACATCCCCAGCCCTTTTTTATATTTCATTTAGAGATAGGGTCTCTGATAAGTTGTTTAGAGCCTCACTACATTGCTGTGGCTGGCTTTGAACTTGCAATTCTGCCTCACCCTCCTGAGCAGCTGGGATTACAGGCATGTGCCACTGCTCCTGGCTGACTGGAGGGCTCTGACATGCAGAAACTGAGCAGGAGGCCATGTGGGGATGAAGCAAGGAAGTTGACCCACCCTTCTGCTGTTCCACAGTGGTACAGCCATCATGCAAGATGGTAACACAATGCGCAACAACTATGGGTGTGACCTGGATGCACTGGGCACAGGTGCACGCATTGGCATGATGCGAACTGCCAAGGGTGATCTGCACTACTTCATCAATGGCCAGGACCAAGGCGCTGCCTGCTCAGGATTGCCTCCGGGTAAAGGTGACTACTCTGTGGCTTCTGGCCAGCCACCCTCAGCTCAGGCTGCCTGGGCTCTCAGGTTTCTGACACCCTCCTTTCCTATGCAGAGGTGTATGCAGTAGTAGATCTCTATGGCCAATGTGTCCAAGTGTCTATCACCAATGCCACTGGCCCCATGGACAATAGCCTGGCAACCAGCAACACTGCCACTGAGAAGTCATTCCCCTTACACTCCCCAGGTACCTACTGTGGGCCTAAAGGATCCTGTTCAAGGATGCTACAGGATATGGGAGGGAACAGCCCCATAGGATAAGCAGTTAGTAGGGTTGGGGAGTATACCTGGAACATAGAATCTGGACACTTCCATGCCACCCAGGGGCTGCATACCATGCCTTAGCCATTCCAGGTTTGGAAATGATTCTTGTGGTAAAAAGACGGGTCAGGAGGTTCTGAGGAGTAATGATGGAGGGAGCCTTATTGTCTACTTGCTATTTCATCTTAAAAGTTTTACTCTCTATACTATTTGAACTTGCTGTCCTAATCTTACTCCTTTCTCTATCCATAGTGGCTGGTGTGGCTCACCGATTTCATAGTACTTGTGGCAAGAATGTCACTCTAGAGGAGGATGGCACAAGGGCAGTGCGTGCCACTGGCTATGCTCACGGCCTTGTCTTCAGCACCAAGGAGCTCAAGGCGGAGGAAGTTTTTGAGGTGGGCTGTGGAGATGGGTGGGGTGCTACTGGCCCATCATCGCAGCCAACTAATGTTTTCTTTCTCACAGGTAAAAGTGGAAGAGCTAGATGAGAAATGGGCAGGTTCCCTCCGGCTGGGACTGACCACCCTGGCACCAGGGGAAATGGGACCTGGAGCAGGCAGTGGCCCAGGGCTGCCTCCTTCCCTGCCAGAGCTCCGGACTAAGACTACCTGGATGGTCTCCAGCTGTGAAGTGAGGCGTGATGGGCAGCTCCAGAGGATGAACTATGGCCGGAATCTAGAGAGACTTGGGGTGAAGCACCTGACTCTGGAGCAGCTGGTGAGGGGTTGGGAATGGAGTGTCAGAGAGAGGTGGGCTGAGCATTTCTTTTTCCCACGTTGGACCTAGGTGGGTAGCCGTGTAGGCATTCGTCGAGGAGCAGATGACACAATGCACATCCTGGTAGATGGAGAGGATATGGGGCCTGCAGCCACTGGCATTGCCAAGGTACACCTAATAGCTTCCTTGGGTCCTGAGAGTGGGCTCTGGGGTGGAAGCTTTGTGCTGATCTCTGACTTTCTGAGTCTTATATTTCTAGAACGTGTGGGCTGTATTGGATCTATATGGGCCAGTACGCAGTGTGTCCATTGTCAGTTCCACAAGGCTGGAGGAGCCAGAAGGCACCCAACCTCCTTCCCCCAGCTCAGACACCGGCAGTGAAGGCGAGGAGGATGACGAGGGCGAGGATCATGGCCTGGGCGTAAGAGGCTATAGCAGGGGCTGCTGGCCAGTTAATGGCCATTGGACACCAGATTCTCCAATTGCAGGGCAGAGGCTCACACTTGAGTTCTGTGTGTGCTCCAGTGGGGTGGATCAGGCCTGCCATTGGCCCCTCATGCAGCATCGTCTCTTCTTCCACACCAGGGCCAGAATCCAGTTGGTATTATGCCTGCAGCCTTTGAGTTCCTGGAGAACCATGGGAAGAATATCCTCTTGTCCAATGGAAACCGTACAGCTACACGGGTGGCCAGCTATAATCAGGGCATCGTTGTCATCAGCCAGCCTCTGGTGCCCCAGCTGCTAGTCCAGGTGTGCCCTGCTTCCTTGTTCCCGGCTCCTCTTGCTCCAGCCATGAACAACCCTCCAGGAAAGGGCCTTTCTGCTGCAAACCAAAAGATATGTCAAAAGTTAGCCAGGTCAATGAAGCCCTTAGTAGCAAGAATCCTTATAGCGGTTATAGTAAGACCAAGGCTTAAAGAGGGGAGAGAGGGGGGGTTGGGATTGTGGCTCAGCGGTAGAGTGCTTGCCTAGCACGGATGGGCGGGACCCAGGTTCGATCCTCAGCACCACATAAAAATAAAGGCGTTGTGACCATCTACACCTAAAAGTAAATAAATTAATATTAAAAAAAAAAGAGGGGAGGGAGGGGGACTGGGGTTGTAGCTCAGTGGTTGAGGGCTTGCCTGGCATGCGTGAGGATGCCAATAAAGATATTGTGTCCATCTATAATGACTTTATAGTTTCTGGTCTCTCCAAGAATCAGAAAGGACAGTGGCCCAGGCCACTCTTTGGGAAGTATATTCCCTTCCTGGCTGGGGTGAGATCCTTGTTCTACAGTGTAGGTAGGTGGCCTCTGCCCAGAAGGCTGTGATTGTGGAGTAGTTCCTTCTCCTGTAGGTGCGGATAGACTTCCTGAACCGACAGTGGACATCCTCCCTTGTCCTGGGAGTCATCACCTGCCCACCTGAGAGGCTCAACTTCCCTGCTTCTGCCTGTGCCCTCAAACGGGCAGCCTGGCTACTGCGGGGCCGTGGTGTGTTCCACAATGGTCTCAAGGTGAGTGAGGGAGAAGAGAGAGAGCGTCAGGTCTCTTAAGTAGGGAGAAGTTGGACAAAAGGAAGAAGTAGAACTCGTAGTCCTGGTTGTAGGATAGCAGATCCCAAGAGGGTGGAAGTTGGTGGGGGGCAGGGGCAAGGGTATGAGTGTCCTTATCTGGTCAGTCTCAGCCCTACTGCTTCCTCCTACACAGTTGACAGTATTACAGTTATTGAAGTGGGGGTAGAGCCTAGGCAGTGAGCAAGGTTGGAGACAAAGCCCAGGGACAGAAAACTGAAAGCACAGTGAAAGGTGGGATGTCTGCTGGTGATGGAAGTCTGAAGACAGTAGGTCTCTCCTCCCAGATCTGTGAGAAGTTTGGGCCAAATCTGGACACATGTCCTGAAGGCACCATCCTGGGACTGCGGCTAGACAGCTCTGGAGGACTGCATCTCCATGTCAATGGGGTGGACCATGGGGTAGCTGTGCCAGATGTGCCCCAGCCTTGTCATGCACTTGTGGACCTCTATGGGCAGTGTGAGCAGGTTAGTGGCAATGGGGGAGGCAGTGCCTGGGAGACTGGGAAGTTTGAGGTACATAAATCAGCAGCCCTTGGGGGTTGAGAAAGCTTTGGCTGACCACCCCTTTCCTCTACAGGTGACAATTGTGAGCCCTGAACCAGGGGCTGCCAGTGGAAAGAGTGCTGGAACCCAAGGGGACATGGAAAAAGCAGACATGGTGGATGGTGTGCCAACCTGAAGGGACCAAGATCCTACACCCCCACCTGCCCCATTCCAATCCTTCTAGCCCAGCTTCTGTGACCTCTTCCCCCTCTATTCCCTCAGGTATTAAAGAGAGCGTGTGCTGGGGTCCACAGCCTGCTGCTAGCCCTCTAAAGAGTTGCGAGTATCATGCCCTTTGCTCCCGCTTCCAAGAACTGCTGCTGCTTCCTGGTAAGTCCCTGTTCCCCGAGAATTTGCCTCATTTCTATGGCCAGCTGGAGGGCAGCAGCAGGACCCAGGGTGGGAACCTTAGCACCAAGCTGGACACTCACTGTCCCACAGAGGATTATTTCATACCTCCGCCGAAACGTAGCCTGTGCTACTGTGAGTCTTGTCGGAAGCTTCGAGGAGATGAGACCCACAGGCGCCGAGGGGAGCCTCCCCGGGAATACGCCCTGCCCTTTGGCTGGTGCAGGTTCAACCTCAGGTATGTATGAGCCAAAGTCATACATGTTCCCAATTGCTTTTTACCCTCATGAGAGAGTCCCAGTGGGTGCATGTAAAAACTAGTAGAACTTCCTGAGTAGGGAATGACCTTGGGAAGCCAGTGACCTTTGTCCTGTCTGCTTTTGTTCTGTTAGAGTGAATCCCCATCTGGAAGCTGGGACACTAACCAAGAAGTGGCACATGGCATATCATGGGAGCAATGTGGCAGCTATACGGAGAGTGCTGGACCGAGGGGAGCTGGGAGCAGGTATTGTAGAGCAAGCAGGGACAGGGAAGCCCTAGCTTGGGGTCCCTGGGAGGAATCACAAGGGCCATCCTGACCCACCCAGCTCTCCTTGCAGGTACTGCCTCCATCCTGAGTTGCCGGCCCTTGAAGGGAGAACCTGGGGTGGGGTTTGAGGAGCCTGGTGAGAACTGTGCACCTCCCCGGGAGGAGCAGCCCCCTCCAGTGCTGCTTTCCCCCTCCCTTCAATATGCTGGGGCTGAGGCCCTAGCCTCCAAAGTGCAGTGAGTACACAAGATGGGGGGTGGCTCTGGGGTTTTCAACCTAGACGGGGTTCTAGAACCTCTTGGATCCTCATGATTTGTCTCCCATCTCATACCCTGGCTTGTTAGTTGCTCCTCCACCTGAGCCCTTTCTTCACTCATTCATTGAAGATACCACTTACCACATGCTATCTGAGTGAAGGAGAAAGGAACTTTACTCTGTTGTAACTTACCTTCTTTAGAATGTTTATACATAATGAGTCTTTAGGACTTTTAAGGGTGAAAAGTAGTATGGAAACAAAAGGAGAGTGGAGTGAAGCAGATGAGCATTGCACTTGGAGTGGGCATATTAAATAGGATGTCAGGATAGGCGTTCATTAAAAGGTGAGGTTTGAGCAAAGCTAGGAGGGCAGGGAAGGAGACTGCTAAGCAGTCTTTGGGAGGAAAAGCATTGCAAGTAGAAAACTGCTGGAATTTAGCACTTAGTGATAAGAATACTTCCAAGGAACAGCAGGCCTGTGTGGTAAGCAGTTAGCAAGGTGGAATGGTGAGGGGGCCAAAAGCCTCACTCTTGGCTTCTACTTTTTGACAGATTCCGGGATCCCAAATCCCAGCGGACGCACCAGGCTCAGGTGGCGTTCCAGGTGTGTGTGCGTCCTGGCTCCTACACCCCTGGCCCCCCTTCTGCTGCCCTCAGAGAACCTCCTGACCCTCACTTCAGCCCAGCAGAACTTGAGTGGGTCACTAAGGAGAAGGGGGCCACACTCCTCTATGCGCTGCTGGTGCGGGTGGAATGAAGGGTGAGACACCACTACTACAAGCACAGTTGGGCCTTGGCCCTGGACTCTAAAATAGAGTGATGACTGCCATCACCTCATTCCAGTGACTCACGGCATGCACAGGTGCTGTCCTAGCAGACGCAGGACAGATTCAGAAAGGAAGTGGAGCACCTCTCCATGTCCAGGGGTCCAGCACAGCTTCCTCTAACAAGAGGGAGCTCGTGGGGAGCCCATTCCAGGCCCTGGGTCCTTCCTTCATGCACTGATTTGGGGAACACGACTCCCTGTTACTCCCCTCCCCAACATCACTTAATTTATTTCCGTTTTTGTTTCTGGTTACTGTGAATCCCAGAGGAGTCTCTCCCTGAGCCCACACGAAGCTGCTTTTTCTGGGGCCATCGGGCGGGAGTGGGGAAGGAAGGGCGGGCGGGGGAAGCCGCGGGCCCTCTGTACAGTTGTTACCGACTGATTTCTAAGGAGCCAATAAATACGGTCTCAGAGCATGCGCCTCAGCCTCTGTCTCGCGCGTCCCCAAGAGCCCGCGGTCCCAGGGCCGCCCGGTGAAATGAAGGGCTGCTGGCACGCAGCCGGAACCTGCCCAGACCCCAGCTGCTACAACGGAGTTTGGACTCGCGGGCATCCGTCCCCGCGCGCTTCCGCATTTCCTTCCAGTCCAACCCGCAAGGCCGGTCGCCGCCTTGACTCCGGAAGGATTCGTTCGGGCCGCCGGATGTGACGCTAAGGCTAAGGCGCGCCAGAGGCCGCGGAGAGAGCATCTAGAAGGTGGGTAGGTAGGGGTCGATGCCCCGGGGGTTCGAAGGAGGAGCGGGGGCGCCGAACCATGGACCCTGTGCCGCCAGCATGCGCTGGGGCTGTGACCCGGCGGAGCTGCGTGCCCCCGAAACACGTGACCCGGTCCGAGAGCTGACCGCACCGACAGGCTTCCGCTTCGTCCCGGCTCAGTTTCCACTAAGTTCCTGCCTCCCTGCAGGCACCGTCTGAGGTCTGGCAGTCAGTGACAGAGCAGGGCGCCCGCAGTCCGAGCGCCCCCGACAGCACCATGCCCGCGCTCCTGGAACGTCCCAAGCTTTCCAACGCCATGGCCAGGGCGCTGCACCGGCACATCATGATGGAGCGGGAGCGCAAGCGGCAGGGTGAGCTGGGGCCAGAGCAATAGATCACACGCATGGCTAAGGTGTCTCAGCTGCCCCAGGACTACTCCCACCCACGGGCTGAGCAGTGCGCCCGCAGGCGAAGCTAGAGGGAGGGAGGGAACAGCCCCCCTTAGTGTGGGAGTAGAGGCCTGGTTCAAGTTCCAGGAAGCCAGAGATGGGTAGGACCTTGGAGAGCTACTGCCAAGTACACAAGTGGTAGGATAATGGCGGGATAAGTAAACTAATGAGTTTCACCACCCTGCCACTTCATTTTGGCTGATTTTTCCAGAGGAGGAAGAGGTGGACAAGATGATGGAACAGAAGATGAAGGAAGAACAGGAGAGAAGAAAGAAAAAGGAGATGGAAGAGAGAATGTCACTAGAGGAGACCAAGGAACAAGTAAGCTGTCCCCGATTGCTCCAAGCTCTGGGTTTTTCCCTTGGTTCTCTCTGTCTTACCTCCTTTCCCCTTCCCTTCCAGATTCTCAAGTTGCAGGAAAAGCTTTTGGCCCTACAGGAAGAGAAGCACCAACTTTTTTTGCAGCTCAAGAAAGTTTTACATGAGGAAGAAAAACGGAGACGAAAGGAGCAGAGGTGGGATCAGAGAGCTAAAAGTAAAATTGGGATAAGGTGGACTGGGTAACAAAAGAGTCAATGTTTAATGGCAAAAAGGGGGTAACTGCCCTTGGTTTTCACCTATCCTTCCTTTCACTCCAGTGACCTGACCACTTTGACATCAGCTGCATACCAGCAGAGCCTGACTGTTCACACAGGAACTCACCTCCTCAGCATGCAGGGTAAAGACTAAAGAAACCATTTGACAGAAAGTGGCTCCTCTTGGAGGTTGAGGCATCACAAAATCCCTCTCCCTTTCTAGGGAGCCCTGGAGGACATAATCGCCCAGGCACCCTCATGGCAGCTGACAGAGCTAAACAGATGTTTGGACCCCAAGTACTCACGGTGAGAAAAATGGATTTGAGCGTATAGCTCTATTTCTTCTCTTTACTCCTTCATCCCAGGCATCCTGGTCACCAGTGTTCAAGTCACAAACATAACCAAGCACTTATTGTAAGGGCAAGTAGGGCAACGATGTATACAGAAGTCCTTGAATTTGTTTTTAAGAACTTTACAATCAGTTCTCACCTTCCTCCTTAGACCCGGCACTATGTGGGCTCAGCAGCTGCTTTCCCAGGAACTCCAGAGCATGGGCAATTCCAAGGCAGCCCAGGTGGTGCTTATGGGACTGCTCAGCCCCCACCGCACTATGGACCCACACAGCCAGCCTATAGTCCTAGTCAGCAGCTCAGAGGTGAGTAATGGGAAGAGTGGGGTGGCTTTCCTGAAAGCCCACAGGTAAGGGTAGAGGAAAAGGAAATTCTAACGGGCATACCTCCTCCCTTCCTCAGCACCTTCAGCGTTTCCTGCAGTGCAGTACCTATCTCAGCCACAGCCACAGCCCTATGCCGTGCATGGCCACTTTCAGCCCACCCAAACAGGTGATAATATCCTAGGCAGGAACCCCTAGCTCCACAGGTCCCACCTGCCTCATTCTCTTCTTTCACACACCTCTCTTCCCCACCTAGGGTTCCTCCAGCCTGGTGGTGCCCTGTCCTTGCAAAAGCAGATGGAGCATGCTAACCAGCAGACTGGCTTCTCTGACTCAGTAAGTAAAGGGCCTTGGGAGGTTGGAGGAAGGGCTAGGCTAAGGGGAGCCCCAGTATGCTTCAGGTAACTTTGTCCTCTGCAGTCCTCCCTGCGCCCCATGCACCCCCAGGCTCTGCATCCAGCCCCTGGACTCCTTGCCTCCCCCCAGCTCCCTGTGCAGATGCAACCAGCAGGAAAGGTAAGGATGGTAACCAATATCCCAACACTACCAAGCAAACAGGATAGGTGGCTCACACTTTTTGGTTGTCCCTTCCTCCTTCAGTGTGTGTATCAGTAGGGGTGTTAAGTGGAAGGGAGGGTATATTCACTGACAAAACCCTCCTTTCATCACCATCCAGTCAGGCTTTGCCACTACCAGCCAACCTGGCCCTCGGCTCCCTTTCATCCAACACAGCCAGAACCCGCGATTCTACCACAAGTGACCATCAAATTATGTCTTCAACCCCATCCCTCCATCCCCCATGGGTGAGGGTCTTTCTTCCCTTTATGTCCCAGGCCAATAAAATCTACCTGCCACTGCCCCTGGCTGCTGCTCTTTGTGTCACTTCCCACCCAGCTGTCTGGAATATGCCTAGGCTGCTTGGAGGGTGGGGGGGATGGCTGGTAGATTCTGCCTTCCAATTATTTCCAGTCAACAAATACCCATTTAATTCAAATAAGCAGCTGACTTGGGGGACTTCATATTAAACTTGTAGTTTTATTCAGGTTTGATTTTAACAAATGTGTCGGGGAGAGAGCCCGCAGGAAAGGGTAAAGCCCATAGGGGCAGGGCCCTCCCAGATGCCTGAGGAGGGGGCAGGTCCCCTCCCCTCTACTCCTCTTCCCTCCCCACATGAAGGGACTTGGGGAGAGATACAGGCAGGGGAGGGGGCTGGTCCCTGTTCTGTAGGGTTGGTGCTTGGATTAAAGGGCTATGGGGGAATAGGAGACCAGACCAAGGACAAGTGGGGGGTAAGGACACACACAAGGACCATTTGCCAGAATCCACAGCTTTCTGATTCCAAATTGAATTAAAAAAAAAAAAAAAAAAAAAAAAAAAAACTAAACCACAAGCAGTACCCATCCTTTCTCCCCCACCAGGACTGTAGTGCAAGGGGAGAAAAGGAAGGCAGCTTCACCAAGGCCATGGCTCCCTTGCTCCTGGCCAAGGGAGCTAGGTGAAGGGCAGGGGCTCCCCGACAGATTGAGGGGGTGGGGAAAACCAAAATAAAACGTCAAATAAATTGTGTAGGAGTCGTCCAGCCAAGGGTCCAGCCACAGCAGGACCTGGCTGGGGGAGGGGCCTCTGCAGGCTTGAGGATCGCTGCTGCCACCACTGCCACCCTGAGTAAGAGAGAAACCAAGTTAAGACAGAATAATTAATACCTTCAACAAGGGTGGAGAGAACAGGACCAGGATGGAGACAGAAAGCAAGCCTGGCATGATTAAAAGATCAGAAATAAATTTGATGAGAACAAAATACGTAAAGGGGGACAGTGAGGGCTTTGTCACTCTCACCTGGGAGCCAGTTATTTTGCCATGGCCTTGATTGCAACAGCTGCCTCCTCTGTCATGGCAGACAGCACCGTGATCTGGAGAAGAAAAAAGGATAGTTAGGAGATACCCGAAGTTGGAGAAACAGCAAAGCTGAGCATACAAGGGAGAAGAGAACAGCATACCAGGATCTCTTCTCCACAGTCATACTTCTGCTCAATCTCCTTGCCGAGGTCGCCCTCGGGCAGACGAAGGTCCTCTCGCACCTCCCCACTGTCCTGGAGCAGTGATAGGTACCCATCCTGGATGCCAATCAGCTGAGGGCAAACAGAGAAGGAAGTTGAAGACAGGCCCAGGTAGGCTGAGGATAAAGGGTCTGATGAACAATTTGGAACAAGAGCAAAATATCAAATACCCTCTCCCTCCTCTCCCACAACTTCTGGTCAATCTGTATTTTGCACCCGTGAACCAGTAACCCATCCTCATCCTGTACACCTACATACCTGGAAGTCATTCCTTTTGATGTTGGGAACATCCATATTATGAGTTGACGGGCAGATATCTTCATATTTCTTCCCAGTAAAGATGTCAATACCAACCAGGTGGACCTGTGTATATGCATCACAAAGAGAAACCCAACCAACTCTAGGACGGAGGAGATAAAGGCTCATGTAGTTACTAGCTGATGAAGGAAGTCAGTCTACCTTGTCAGGGCAAAGACAAGCAAAGTTGGAAATGAACTAAGAAATACTAAAGCCAAAAAACAAAAAACAAATTCTGAGGCTAAAAGACCACCACAGGTCAAGGTGGTAGAGCAGGTGTAGGGAAGTATCAAAAAACTGACAGAGAATGCTAGGAGCCTAGGGGTATAGAAGGAATCCTTGGCATATAGAAGGAATCCTTGGCAAAAGTTTGGAAGAGTTTCTGGACACCCATGTAAGGGGCTGAGAATTTTGAGAATAAGGTAGAAGGGGAAAAAAGTCTGTTAAAAGAATTGGGGAAAACAAACTTCAAGATCAAAAAGAACTACGTAGTTAGGGAGAAAGAAAACTAGAGAAAGAGCTACACATTAGGAGGATCAATGTCAAGTCAATAAAACCACAAGAAATTCAACAAGAATGAATCAGGTTTAACTTCTGTGGAAAAAGAAAAACTCTGAGGTGACAAGGGAAGCACTAGTGAGAACACTAAGACCAGAGAAAACAGAGAGGCTCAAGGAGTGGGCATGGCAGATAGAGAAATGGAGACTGCATTAGAATTCCAAAGGGAAAGGTAGAACTGCAGAAAGAAGCAGTTTGAAAAGCAGAAGCTTGAAAATTCAAGCACACTGGAGCCTTTCAAGGGAATGCTACAGTCTGTGTTAGGACCAGAGAAATTTACCAAGCATAGTGATGTAAACAGTACCTAACAAAGGCCCAAGGAAGAAACAAAAAAAGTGAATGCCAAGACCAAGGAAGAAACAGCTGAACAGCCAGAGCATAAAGGACTGAAGAAAAGTCAAAGGACCATGAAGAAATGTCAAGAGACTGGCACAAAGATGGAGAAAAAGGACTACCAGACAATGATGGGGGTACAAAAGGAGGCTGAAGGCTGGGAGCAGGTGTAGTCTGAATGGGTATAAGGGCTGAGTGCTAAACAAAAGGACTAAGACAACAAACAAAAAAACCCACACACAACTAAAGGCAGGCAGGGGTCAGGACTGAAGGCAGCTTGCTGCCAGAAGCCCTATGTATATATGAGGTGTGGGGAAGGCAACATGTGAAAGTCTAACCTTGGCATGGCCATGCTTGCCAGTCTTCGAAGTAGACATCTCGACGATCTTACAAGGCCGGCCTTTGAGCACCACAAAGCCATTCTTACGTAATGCTGAGCACTGCATTGGGAAGGTGGCTGAGGCCCCTGCATCTCCTGTCTCGAAGTCCAAATCATCTGCCATTTTAAGAGGCTTCGATTCCAACTAAAGCCAAGAAGAGAACTGGGGTCAGGAAAGATAGAAGTTAACAGGACCTCTAATCTATTCCATTTTTCTCTGGAAACACTGCTGTTTTCCCCAACCCCTTATTCCACTACCCACCTATAATAAAAGTCAAAGTTCTTGGACTAACTACTGACTGGGGTCAAATACACTGGAGAACTGGTGTGTAAGTAACGGTGGAATAGCTGGATCCTCCCCCAAATTAAAGTTCAAGTGATACTTGGGAAAGGAAAGGTCCAAGGACTTTAGATGCCAAATCTGAGATGAGGAAAGTCCTACTTCCTGGGGTGGGGAGGACTCAGGTGTTACTTGCCACTGAAACCAACCACCCCTCTTCCCCACACTTAGCCAGAGCTATAATTAGGTGAGCAGCTATGAGCCAGCAAAAGGGTGGGGCTAATGTGTGTAGGGGGGAGGGTGGAAACCGGAGGACAAGGCCCCACCCGGCTGTTACACCCCCCCACCCCTATCCACACACTCGTCTGTCACTGGTACAGGAAACCACAAGGCCTCTTTGGGGGATTCCCGCCTCTCCAACATGCACTTGCAGTCAAGGGGGTGAAAGTAGTTTCCTAAACCATCCCCCTGCCAAACACCTCGATCTCGGTTCCCAAAGGGAACCCAGCCTCTCCTCGAAGGCCCGCCCACTTTTCCCAGGATGCATCGGTGCTGTCGACTTTTTAGGCCCGTCCTGTGCAGTCAGAAAGTGAGAGAGTAGGGGGTGGTGAATGACAATAAAATGAAAGCAAGGAGTTGGTAATAGTGAGTAGTAAAAATCACCCTAGGCTGAGAATTAGGAACTCTAAAACCCAAGTTACTCCCAAAACTAGACACGAGGAAGACCACTAGTGACAAAGTGAAGACAGCATATCATGGTGGGGAACTCATCTAAGGCGCTGTCGGCACGTGCCTAGAGAGGAGGGGAACTCATGTCCAGTCACTCAAGTTTCCCAATTTCTCCGGCCTCGCAGTTCTAAGAGTGCCACTTACACTTGGCTGACCGCCTCACTTCACGTGAAGACTGGGAGAAAAGCTCCAGGCGCCCATGAGGCTGAGGAACGCTAACATATGCCTGCAGCTGGCCCTCCGGGGTGATCGAAAACTAGTCCTTAAGGTTCTCCCACTATCCAAAATTCCAGGTTCCCTCTGACGCCCGGGAGGACGAGCTCTCCCTGCGCCGGGGGTTGCCGGCTCCCGCCCACCATGTGGCCGCCCGGGGCTTCCGGTGGCCGGGACCTGGGGGGAGGGGTCCCCGCGCTGCCATGCGGACCCGGTCCACATTCGGCCATGCGGCCTCCGACCCCGAGGGCAACTTGCCATGGGGGGGCACTTCCGGTGCCGCGAGTGCCCCCCTCCCCAAACGCTGCGCCAGGCCGGCGACTCACTGCCTCCCCTCCCCCCGCCAGCCGCCAACCCCCCCTTCACATGCGCTCTCACGGAACAGCCCCCTCCCCCACCTCACGTGGCCGCGCGGTGCCTGGTCCTCAACGACCCTGGGACCCTTGCCCCGACGGGGCTGATCTGGCCCCCGGCCCTCTCCCCGGAGCAGCCGCCTGGCGGCCTCTCCCGCGTGGCGGCCTCGCGGCTCGCCGTCCCCCGCCCTGCGTCGCTCCAACGTCACCCGGCCGGCCCCAACCGTCACCCCGCGCGCCAACCGGGCCGCGCGCCCGCGCCTCTCCATACCTCGCGCCGCTCCCCGACCAAACCCATGCGGTGGTGGCCGCCGCTCCCTTCTGCCCCCTCCCCGACCCCCGTATAGTTCCATCTCTCCTTCCCTGCTCAAGCAGAGGTTCCGCGCAGGCGCGTCCTGCCCGCTCTCACCTCGCGCGAACGCACTGACTCGACCCCGTCCGCTCGCCGCGAGCCCAACCGCTGCCTCCGAGCCCGCTACCGCCGCCGCCGCCGCCTCTACCGCCGCCGCCGCTGCTGCACACGGGTCTTAGTACGCAGGCGCCGACTCCCCACTGACCAACCAAGCAGCCCTATGACAGCCGCGCAAGCGTGCTCTCCGGCTCCTCCGCCCTCCACCCCCGCACTGCGCAAGCGCAAAGACCCTCCCCGATCTCCACCCTC